ATACATTCTCATCATCATCATCATCATCATCATCCTCGAATCACGCAAATGCATGCAAAAGTCCCTGGGGACATCTGCGACATAGGAACGATACAGAGAAAAAAGAGAATTCTGCCTGGCCGCCCCGCGCTCCCACAAAGCTGTCTGTGACCACATCACCGGTTGTCATCCATCATCTTTCTTGGTTTAGATGAGATGCACTTGATATGCAGGTGCACATTTCCTTTCCTTATTGGGGTAGGGTAGCTACGGCGCAGTCACGTTGTCAGTTCTAAATCCACTTCAGGCAATTACTCGAATAGAACACATCCCCACCTTTCATCAGACCCTTTTCGTCGAGCTTTCATCGAAGCTTCATCGCCTCATCAGACCCTTTTCGTCGTCGAACTTTCATCGAACCTTATAATCCCTCATCAGAAGGAGTCGGACTCCCTCTGAATTTGTTGTAGGTAGCGGGATTGAACCCACAAGGCGCGAATCGCGCTGTGCTCTTTTTTTTTTTTCTTTTTCAGTCCCTTTTCTTTCATATAGATCGTCAAACATCCATGTTAGATAACATAGGTATACATATATTACTCATATTATATTATAATAATAAGACATTGCAATAAACTGCATCTACGAATTAAATATATAACGTATAACTTCCATCCACTCATCACACACCTTGAACTCTGTCTGTATTTTTGTTCTTAAAGCACACAGATGCTCATCTGACTATAAGCATGACTGCGTCAAGACTCTTCCGTCGGTCCTCGGTCTGTAGTTATTATTTAATGACCCAGAGACATATATCATACGGCCCCTCGCCGCACCCGTCGCCAAATGTGCAAGGGACAATTTAAACTTATAAAGCGGATGTGGATGTTTCTTTCGACGTTCTCGGGAAAGATACGTTCTCACTTTGCACATTGGGTGAGTGGTGCGGCGAGGCCGATAAGCATATATGACGGCGGCGGACTCTTTCGTCGTCGGACTTTCATCGGCTCGTCAGGAGACTGAACACCCCGTTTGTGTGTGTATGCGTGTGTGTGTTTTCTTACCGCACTGCATCTGACTGTCGTCCTCCGCGTAGAGACTTTCCACACGCTCTTCCTCGCGGCAAAAGAGAGTGATCGGGATCCCGACCGCTGCGACGCACACAACCTCAACGGAGAACCCCGAGCAGAAGCCTGCATCAAACAAAATAAATTTGCGAAAAACGAAGTCACCAATCCATCAGTCAATGCCAATTATCCCTGGTTTGACATTGTAAGGTAAAGATCTGCTCCAAAAAGAAAGAACTGCTGAAATCGCGTCTCATCTCTGCGTTGCTCGAATCACTTTGGGGCTTCCATTTCCCCCCCGCCCCCCTCCTTTCTTCCTCATTCTGAAAGACAAATCACTATTGGGCTTCCATTTCCCGCCCACTCCCCTCTTTCTTTCTTCCTCTTTCTGCAAAATGCTGTTGTCCCCCTCCATTTTGAAAATGCCCATTTGCGCCCTCCTTACTCCGCCTGGCCTCCAGTAGAACGCCCGGTCATTATTGCTGTATTTCGACTCAAAGTCGCACGGATACGCCTGGTCGGTGCATTGAACCTGGTCTGTGCATTGTGATTAATGCAAGTTCTGTGAAAACCAGGCCTCCCTCTACCACTCGCAAATTGTGAAAAAACACAAACAATGGCGCGTGAACGTTTCCACATTCTCGCTGAAGATGCACTCGCTAATAATTACCACAATGTCGTGGCAAGGGCCCAAGACGGAGGCCCCCAGACTGCGGACGGATACGTGGAACCAAGAGACCATTACCGGCGGGCCAAATTAACCCCCCTCCATCCCCCTACCCCCCCACACCCTCCCTCCTCCTCCCCACCTTCGCCTGCTGGCACGCCACTGAAGATTGAAATTTGATGTCATCAAATTGTCTGGACACCATCCGGAATTATCCATGGAACAACAAAACGTCATGATCCATGGAAAAACAAAAATATCATTATCCATGGAAAAACAAAAATATAATCTTCGCTGGGGAACATTTCCCGCCACCCATTCCTTGTCCTCGTCCTCCCGCCATTACATTTCCGCCAATTCGAAAATGGCTGTACTCGTAATGGACGTTGAGAGACACGAAGCGTAAAATGAACGACACGAAGCGTGAAATGAACGGCAAAGATGTACTTGCGGAGAGAGAGTAAGAGAGTAGATGTACACGCATCAGCACTTCCTATGCTGAATCGTCGCTGTCAAATACAATCAAGAAAAATGCAGGAGACAGCGCATGCTCAAAAAGAGAGAGGCAAGGAGGAGAACATGAGCGAGCGGAATAGGCCGGAAGAGATGGAGTGAGGCAAGGAGGAAGGAAAGTGCAAGGAATCTGGCCCAGATACGGCGGCAGCAAACGCGAAGGACAAGTCCGCCCTCCCAACGGCGCGTTCATGTCGCGTTGAACGTGTGTAAGGGGACTGGGGGCACACTGGGGACGAGGATGGGGAGCAAAAACTGGGGCCGGAGGTAGGAGCGGGAACGTGGGCGAAAGCGGGGCGGGGGGGGAGGCCGGGGAGGGGCAACGGGAGCGCAGGGCGGGGGAACGGAAGGGAAGGGGGTAATTAGAGATACTTGGGTGGGCCGAAAAGAGAGCAAGTGGAGCACACACGTGGGGTGCGCGGAGGGTAGGGGCAGACGCAGGGGGTGGCGGGGCATGGGCGGGGGCGGGGGAGGGGGCAGGGGCGGGGGRGAGGTAGCGGAAGCGCAGGGCCGGGGGCGGGAGAAGGGGGGGGTATTGGCGATAACTGAATGGGCCGAAAAGAGAGCAAGTGGAGCACACGGGAGTGTTTTCACTGCCGCACCTGGAGACGTGTCGAATTGGTAGCCGCCGCTGCCGACGTCGAGGCGATACAGTGAGCAGTTGCCACGTGGCGGAGCGAAGCTGCAGCAGCGGTCGCCATCTTTCTAACAGCTAGGCCGTCTTCGGGCAACCTCAGTTATGGCGTTCTTTACGTTCCCTGCAGGTTCGGCACACCACCTGGCACCTACCACCTGCCAAGAGAATCCTTCCCCGACACACTGAAGGGGAGAGAGGACAAGCGCCGATTTAGAGACAACAACTCGAGAGGTCTGCCTTGCCCTGCATCTCCCGCCACAAGATGATGTGCCGGTACCACCAATGCATTGGACTTGCTAACTCTTATTCTGTCGTCGCCGCCGTCCATGCAAAAGGCAATCTACGGCCGCGGCGAGTTAAAGGACCTCCCTCCACTACCCTCGACACGTGCAAAACGAGAGTGAATCTTCCGCAAGAACATCGACAGGTGCACCGCCATCTGAGAGTAGCGGAGCGAGGCCCAAAGATTGCTTGTGTTCCGGTATTTTGCTTGGGTTCGAGTGCTCGGTAGTTTTGGGAACCTTTTAGAGTACACATTTACAATTTCGGACAAGGACTTCGGTGTACGAATTTTGACCGCAAATACGACCACATTCGGCCAGTGCAAAAAGCTCCCACCGGTTTCTAAGCTACCAACCGGCCTCTCGGTATTACCGGTGGAAAGCTGACCGGTGGAAAGCTGATGTCCTCGCAGGAAACGGCCTACTTTTCTTTTCTTTTTTTTTTCGGGAAAAATAAGGAATTCATTATAAAAGCATTGAGGCCGGGAATTCCTCACAAACAACCCGGAAACAAAACAATTCTTCTGGGGTGTGCCCAGTCTACCCTGTGGGCTTCCGCCCAACTTACTCTGTTCTCGACATTACTTCTAATCTATATCATGAGCTAAACAGCTATTATCCGCCAATTTACCCACGAATGATTCCTCATCTGTATTTCCAACTCAGGATGGCCTTCTAATTTCCTACAGGGGTAACGCCCCCTTTCCCCTGCCTAACAGCGGCAGGGCGGACCCATGGGTCCTCTAAATCCTGGACACTCTCTTATCCCCCCAAACCAACTTGCCTCCTACTGCGGATATCCCAACCGAGTGCGCCTGGTTGTTCCTAATGGTTCTCGCCTACACTAACCAGTCACTTTTGATTTTCCTGTTTTTCTCCTACAGTTACCCCCTATCTTCTACCCTCTATCTACGTGGTTAAACAACTTGCGAACACCAACCTCCCCTTACTATCTACCCCCCCCCAGTTTCCCACCTTGACCCCACGTTTCTGAGAGCCAGTTTCTGTCTGACCGGGTCCTTCTTCCTTTCGGGACTCTCCTCCTCCAGTCTGCTGCCATCACCCTTCTTATCATCAATTTGAACAGTGCTCTCTTCTCGGGTTCCGGCATTTCGAAGAGGATTCCGTTTCTTTCCGTCCAGATGACCCAGTATCCAACCGCCCTGCAAGTCTGAGCCACATACCCCCAGCCCTTACTGAGTTCCATTGATTCTGGTAGTCCTCCCAACAGAACCCACTCTTTGTCCCATTTGAGAGAGTTCCCGGTCCAACTTTCCCACTGTTCCGCCAACCAGCCCCAGATTCTCTGTGAGGCTGGACAATCCCACCAGATATGGACCGTCGACTCAAATGACCACTGACATCTTTTGCACTGCACATCCACCTTCATTCCTCTGCTTGTTAGCCATACCGCAGAAGGAGTGGCTAGGAGCGAGGCTAACCATATGATCGCTGCAGCTCTTGGGAATGGTGACTCCGCTAGCTGTTGCCAGCATCTCTGCAGTGCGCAGCTAATCTTCTTTCCTTCACCTGGTAGTACTCTTGTCCATCTTTGTGTAGCCGTCGTCAGCGGCGTGCGGGGGGGTTCCTGAACCTCATAACCCAAGTCCAGCGAGTATTCATCCAGCCTTACATGTTCTCCCCGTTGCCCCCGGMTTCTCCACACCCATTGATTCGGGTCTGCCTTGAGTGTTGCGAGCGGGACCCCGGTATTCCAGAGCGCCACCTTCCATTCCCCATCCTCACTCACTGTCTCCCTCACCCTGATTTCGACTAAAGTGCCTTCTGGCCGAGAGCAGTGCTTCTCTTCCTCGCATAGACTCATATTAACTCATGCGCCCTCCGACTGCCATTGTTGGAACTTCCTCCCTCCTTCCTCGCTAAGTTCCACCAGTTTCACGAAGTCACGAAGCTGTGGCCCTTCTGGGTCCTGCTCCTTCTTCACTTCGTACCAAGTACCTACTGGGTTCGGTACTTCCGAAGAGATTATCTGTTTCCACTCGTGTGGGATACTCTCCAGCATTACACTTCCCCTCTGTCTGATGTTCCTACCCGGTCTTAGGATGCTCTCTAGCTCCTCACTTGTTCACCAATCCCCTGTGAACGCATTCCAAAGATCTCTCAATCTTACCACCCCCGGCTTTATCCACGTCTTCCCAAAGCTGCCCGGTGTTGGGTTCGCCATCAGCATCATCCCTCTATCATCCCTGATACGTTGGTTCTAAAAAATGATCTGCGATAAAACTTCCTCCTTTGTGTGCGGGTCACTGAGCATGCCCGACTTCACCCGTCTCCATGCTTGCAGGACCGCTTGCCAGAACTCAGATTTCAATTTACTCATGAGGCATGACTCAATCCAAACGCAGGCCCAAACGTCCGACCGCCTTACCAATTGCCATTCCCTGCTCAGGATGCGTTCTCCCAGCAGGATCCAGTGCTTATCGTTCTGTGTGATGATCGCTCTGACAACCCATCTGGCCAGCATAGCCAGATTTCTCCTGCCTGGGTCCATCATGCCCAACCCCCCTTCCCTTCTAGGAACGCATATCAACTCTCATGCTACCTTAGACATCACTCCCTCTCCTTCTTCCGCATCGGGCTTCCAGATGAACCTTGAGGCTTTCCTTCGTACCACTACCTGTGTCTTCTTCCCTAGCAGTCTCACATTCCCCACAAAGGTGAGGAGAGCGAAAAGTGCCACATTTACCACCAAGGCACATCCGAATAGTGACAGGTGCGGGGCTTTGGCCTTCAGGGCCTCCTCTGCTTCCTCCTTCGTAATTGGTCTGTCCAGGTCGAGGCGTCCCCGTGTGTGCAGCCTTACTGTCGTATTGTTCCAGTGATCTGAGTCGGCTGCTAGATCCGCATTTGCGCCTTCCCCCTGCCTTCTAGACGTTAGAATGTCTTGATAGTACAGTACTGCATACTTGCAAAGCTCCTCTGGTTCCACCGCCACTGGTTCCCTGGAGTCGAAAGGGTGTCTGAGCTCTTTTAGTGCCGGAGAAGTTCTTGCAGGTGCTAACTTCTGGAAGGTTTCCCTGGATATCCTATCATACACTTCCAGTCCCTTGACATTCAGTCTTTCTGCCCACACATCTGATTTCTCTTGCTGCTTCTCATCCCACTCAGCTAACCTTCTGACCCTCTCCTTTCCCTACGTAAAATCAGAGATAGGGTGCCTCTGCATTTTCTCCTCTGCCTCCTGTACTTTCTTCCGTAGTTTCCTCTCTTCCTTGTTCCTGGTCAATGCAAGCATCCTAGAGAAGACATCTAGCAGCTTCGACATGATCCTTGAGCCCACTTCCCACCACTCTGCTACCGTAGCAAACCGCTCTTTTTGCTTTTGCCACCGTTCCCAGAACCCTTGTGTCCACTGGTTTAACCCTTCGCACTGCAGATTCTGCGTGTTAAGCTTAAAGTAGCCCCTGCCTCTCTTGAACTCTTTTGCAAGATTGAAGAAACCAATTACCGGTTTATGATCCGAGACCGGGTTGTTGGCCTCCTCCACGTTGATCACCTGCTTCTTTAGGCTCCCTCCCACTAGCAGGTAATCCAGTCTCCTGCCTCTCCCCCTGTGCGAGAACCAGGTGTAACCCGGTTCCGCTGGTCGCAGTTCCCTGTACACATCCTGCAAATCCAAGTCCAGCATCATGTCCACCAGAGCGAGGACGTCCTTGGCGCACCCTTGATCTCTTTGATCCGACGGGGAGTCCAGAACTGTGTTCCAGTCTCTGCCGATGATGATCTCGTCCACGTCTGGAAGGCACACTTGCAGTTCATCCAAAAAAACCATTCTTTCCTTCCTTCTTGTCGGGGCATAAACCGAGGCTACAACCCACGTAACTTCACCGTGCCTCAGAGTCACCCAGGCCCAACGGCCCCAGAGGTCTGCATAATAGTCCACTATTTGCACCGCCAAGTCCCTGTGGATTAATATCCCCACCCCACCCCTAGTCCTTTGCGTCGAAGACCAAATTTGCGGCCCATCCTACTATCTCCCTAGTTCCCCCAGTTTCTCATTGTCTAGCTTCGACTCTTGCAGACAGGCTATCTGAATCCTGTTCTCGTGTAACCAAGATTTGACCCTCGTCCATTTGCTTCTTCCGGTAGTGTCTCCGAATTCCTGCAGATTCCGCGTTGCGATCTTTACTCTATCCATTCACTCTGGCTGCTCCATTCTGCTATTGGATGTGAGCATTTGTCGAGCGATCTTCCGACCATCTCTGTGTGAGGGTTGTCCTTATAAAATTGGAATCCAGCTTCTTCTCCTTGGGCAGCCTCATCTTCAGTTCGGCTAGTGCGTCTGCCGTCACCATAATCGGTGGGATCGTGAGTCTCGCCAGTTCCTGCTTCTTAGCTTCTGCAAAAACCGCCAACGAAATTAACCTCAAGCCGAGTGGTTCAAGCTCTGCCAACTTCTGTTCTGTCAGTCTGGCGTCCACCTGGGGAGCGTATAACTTCACTTTGTTTCCTGTCGGCCCGAAGAGAATCCTGGGCATCATCACATCTGGGATGATCCTCATTGGGATAGAGTCCAGGTACAAATTCCTCAGACAACTCTCTATGTCAATCGTCGATGGCAGCTCCGTCACCGCTTGTCCAAAGATTAATGACGGGCCCGTACCCCTTTGCCACGTAACTACCCATAAGGAACTCCTGAACGCCGTGCACACGAGGGGCACTAAGTACTGTGAGAGGTCCGTACTTAAGTCCCGTGAAGTTGCGAGTCTTCGGTCCCTCATTGTCTTCTGACCTGGCGTCACCATCCCTACCTCCTAACTCACCGACCTTTCGGACCCACTCCGTGACAGCCTTGATGCTCTCAAAGGTTCGGGCGTGACTCCAAGTTGAGACGCCATGCTTAATCTTCTCTGTTTCCCTGGGCCTCGAGGTTTGCTTGTGGAGCCGCCTGGATATGCACTTGGTCCCGGTTGTGAGCCACCGATCCCGCCTCTTGTACCTCCCCCTGGAGGTTGAGTTGCAACCGACTGCCCCTGACCTCCTCCCCCCCCCAAGGCTATCGATGCTGGTGGCTGTGAATTGCCTCCCATCTGGCTTCCTGCTGACACTCCTCCCTATGGCAACATCATGCCGGCCCAAAGGGCCGGATGTATGATGTTTGCCATCAGCCAATCTGTCGGTACTGCTCCCCCTTGCCATGCCAACGGGTGATCGCCGTTAAAATTAGGCATCCCGTATTGTCCTTGATTGATCTGTTGGCCTTGGTTGCTGAGCTGTCCGCTACGGCCAGACGTTGCTCCTGCGAAACCTCCCCATAACTGTCCCTGTGGGGGCCGCCTACTTGATAACCTCCTTGTGCCACGCTATAGAAGCCCTGAGATCCGATCGGCCCGACGCCTTGCATCAACCCCCCTAGTCCTCCTGGACAGCCGTTCCCCAAATGCCCCTGTAGCTCATTTCCTCCTCGCGAGCCATGCGGCGAGAAGGCCGGATTGTTGCGAATGAAGACAGCGTGGCTTGCTGCTCCCGACGGGGCTTGCGTCCCACTCCTTGGGCCGAGTGGACCCTGGTACCCTAAAGGGATCTGCGAAGGGGTCCGCTGCTGCCAATCGTTACCGTGATGCCCTTGCGACGCTCCCCCTTCATCCGTTCTCTGTCCACCTTTCCTTCTGCACTCTTGTTCCATGTGAAAGAACTGCCTGCAGGTCTTACACCTGACTGTGTCCGCTGTCGCTAATTTTATCTCCAGAATGTCTCCCTTCGGCGTTTCTACCCTGATGACGTCCATGTTCGGGCGGGCCTCTGGAACGAGGTCAAACTTGGCGTTGACTAACGCCGGTCTCAACGGGTCTGCATCTGTTGGATGCGCCAGGGGGATCTTTCCTATTGCCATCTCGATTTGCGTGTAAATGAATGGCATATCATCGAGCGGCACTTGAAGTGCCATCACCCAAAAGACCCTATCCTCCTCCTACTTCCTCAATTCCTTGAACTCCGCTCGCGTCATCCGTGGTTTGAATAGTACCTTATAGGATTCATTCATGAGGTTAACTTCCACTGACTGCTCTGCTATCATATATTCAGCAACCTCCCTTGCCTTCGCCAAATAAGACGCTACCCCTGGTCCTTCAATCTTAATCCTCCCTCTCCTCTGGTTTTGTGGCAGCACCTCGTTTCCAAGGATCCAACCATCCTCGAATGCCCTTACCAAGTCATCTTTGATTTTCCTTGGCAAAAATCTCGCTGCGTCTCTATAAATAATAGTCACGGTACGCTCCTTCAACCACTTCACCTTAATATCATTGAGGGACGTGTTTAATTTAAACCTGACTTCCCTCCCCTTTACTATCATTTCTCCCGGATCAATTTCCGTTGGGTACACACCGTCATCAAAGCAGTGTGCTAATAGACTCCTTATCCTATCTTCGTCCTCCCAGTAGTCCTTCTCCTCATAGGGACCTGGTGGTGGGGATCTCCCTGTCGCCATCTGGGCCGGCGTGGCCTCCATCTCGCTACTCTTCTAGCTGCTCTAAATGCTTCCTCTCTCTCGGCTTACCTCGAGTTTGCACCCTTGACCGAACAGAGAACTTCCTCTTCTTCTTCATGGGCCGGGGGTACACGCTTCCTCCTCCTATCGTCCACTCCTATGGCTGACCATGCGTGTAACATAGTAATTCCAAAATTGCGTGTAACGTTATCTCACCGAATGTTACCTAATCTAAAGGCTATTTCAATGAATCTTCACTGCGGGTTCTCGACTTTAGTTTGTTTGGTAAATGTCGAAGGTTGGGGGTTGTTCGTAGAAGGCAACGAAACTGTTGGAGGTAGTGGGAGACCTAATAGTTGTGGGAATGTTGTTGACCTACTATGGCACAACTGAATAGCATTTAGCTGTCAAGAGAGCATACTTGGGGTTGTACCCATTGAGATCGAGGGTGCCTGGGAGATGGCAGTTCCTACAGAGGTTCAAGGGTGCAAGGTGGGAAACCTCGTCACGGCAACCCAGGTTCCCCACGACTACTAGCTGCTCTGTCGGGCCAGTATTGGTGCTGTATTCCTTCGGTGGAAATTACTTGATCTGCTTGTTGGGCGAATCTTTTTCTTCAACTCTTCAGATTCCTTTCTAGTTCACAATCTTTTATTTGGCTTTGTTCATTAGGGTTTAGTTACACCATGACTATTATAATTTCAAATGGCGGTTTGCCGTTTTTTGGCCATCTGCATAGGCTGGACTTATAGGCTTGCTACAGATTTTTCGAACATGGATTTTGAATTGGTGTCAGTTTAAGGGTCCTGTCGATTTAGACATTTACAATTCCATAGGGATAGCTGGTTTCTCAGCTCTGGTGCTTCACGCTCGGAAATGCTTTTGAAATCGTTTTAGGTTGTCGGATACGTATTAAGACATTTTTACTGCGCTTCAGGGGAATTTTTTAAGAAGCTTCTTTGAGATAGCAGAGTGAGAAAATGGGACACTGGACCCAATTTCCAGTTCTGTCGAAGTTGGGTAATGGCCCCAGTATGTTCATTCGGGTTCAATTGTGAGGTCCCCAGCCTCTCTGAACTTCTATTATTTGTAACAAAGGTGACCAACTTCTATAAAATTAAAAAAAAAAAAAAAAAAAAAAAATCAGCCCTACTTGATATTGAGGGGTATATCACACCAACTTTTACTTCACTGATCGGATTTCTTACTGTGCGTATCCCAATCCTCTTCTAGCCTATAACAGTATTATCTCCGGCTAAATCGACGGAGTGCATCCACTTCGGATCCGTACCCACCGTGACACTCTCATCCCCTGCTCTCCTTCTTGCCTCCTACCACGGATGTAGCAACCAAATGTCCTGGTTGTTCTAGCTAGCCAACCAAGTAGAAAATTGCAGAAACGACCTATTTTCAATTTGTACCAATTTTCCACCAACGGCCCAGGTTTCCCCAAACCAGGCTCGACCCTGAGCTTTTGTCGAACTCTTGCTTACTTTACGTCTCCAATCTGCCGCGGTTGTCTGGTGCGTCAGAGCCTTCAGGGTGTTTTTCATTTCCTGGTCCGCCATGTCTTCAAGATCATCTTTGAAGACTTTCTTATTCCTCCCTTGTTAGATAACCCAAATAATAACCGACCGAAGTACTTGTGCTACATACACCCACCCTTGGTCAAGCGAAAGTCCTTTCGGTATTCCTCCCAGGAGTACCCACTGTCAGTCCCACGGAAAAATTGTTGTTAGATATGGAGCGCTCGTGTTTGGCCCACCAGTCCCAGATGCGGGCTGACGTCGGGCAGTCCCACCACAGATGAGTGGTGGATTCGTATTCCCGCTGGCATCTGACGCACATTGTGTCCACCTTGACTCCTCGATTTGTCAGCCAGACTACCGATGGAGTTGCCAAGAAGGAGAGGAGCCATAATACCGTTGTCAGGCGTTGTGATGACATTAGTATGAGATGAGACCAGCAGCGGTTTATTGTCCTGATGACTTCCTTTGCATTTACTCGAGTCACTCGCAACCATCTCTATGTCGCCATGTTTTTTGGGGTCTTGACTGGTTTTTGCATCCCTCCTTCTCCACCTCCACTGTGCTAGGTCGGCTCTGAGTCTGGCTATCGAGAGCCCATTTGCATAGAGTTTCATTGCCCATTGGCATGCATAATCACATTTCTCCTTAACTCTGATTTGTGTCATTATTGGTGGGGGGCGGGGAAGACCTTTTCCTTCTTCCAATTGTACGAGCTTCACTGAGTGTTATCGACCTATTCTTGACCATTGTTGAAACTTTTGTCTCCCTGATTTCTCGAATTCTACCAGCTTCCAGAAGATGCCCGATTGTTCAACCACTGTATCAACAAACCATGTGCCTAGTAGGTCCATGTTTGTCGAACTGAGCAGATGTCTCCACTCTACTGGGATGGCCTCCTTTATTAATGTCAAATTCACCTCAGCTCCTTCCATGCCTTCCAATTTCTCCTTCATCCTTCCGATTGGGATCCAGTTGCCTTGGTATTCGTCCCACGGGTCCCTGATTCTCACCACCCCTCTTTCTATCCAAACTCTTTTAAAATCCCCTTCTTTCTGTCTATTGTAAGCCACTCTTCTGTCCATGTTCTGATATGCAGATTCTCGAATAAGATCCGTATAAGAACTTCTTGCTTGGCCACCGGTGTGGTCCACTTGTTTGGTTTCACTTTACTCCATGCCTTCAGGATGCCGTTCCAAAACTCCGATAAGCAGTCCCTTCGCAGATAGGACTCCACCCATATGCATGCCCAGATGTCTTCAGGGCGTCGGAGGTTCCATGCTTTGGTCAAAATCTTTTATGCGAGTAAGACCCAATGTTGATCATTTGTTGAGCTGATGATCCGGATTACCCAGTTGGCCAGCGTGACCTTGTTTTGTTTGTCTGGGTCTTTGAGCCCTAGTCCTCCTTTTTGATGAAAGCAGATATGATCCCAAGCTACCTTGAGCATGCACCCCTTGCCTTGTTTCGCGAAAGGTTTCCAAATGAAGTGGGCGGATCGACGTTTGATTATCGTTCGTGCTTTCCGACACAAAGGCCGGATCTTTTCGACGTACCACAGTAGCGGTAACTCGTGTCGTCCTCGAGTTGTCTCTAAAAGGTTGAAAACCTAAGTTTCTCCTGCGTGATGCGGCCGGGAGGGCCCTCGCTCGCGCGGGGGCCGATGCGCTCGACAGCAGGAACAGTGCTACGTTGACTAATATGGCCCTTCCCATCAGGGAGAGGTGAGGAACCTTTCCCCACATGGAGATTCTATTCGCCACCTTCTATTGTGACAACTCGTTTTGGTCCACTCCACAGGAGAGGAGTGCGACATGGACACCCAGAAACCTTTCTAATTGGTGACCAAGAATACGTTTCATACCCCACTCGACTTTGAGGTTATATGGGCTTGGAAGCAGAAACACTGATTTCGACCAGTTGATGGCTGCCTATGATACCTCTTCATATTCTTTCAAGCACAACCTCAGTGCTCGCAACGAATCTTTTGTGTTTTCTGCTACTACTAATAAGTCGTCTGTGAGGGTCTTAACCGACATTCCCGTCCGCGGGTGGGGAGACCTACCATAGCCAAAGTACTGCGAATATGAGATAATATTGTTTCTAATTGCACTACAAATAGTAACGACGCCACTAGGCAACCTTCTCGAAGCGAACGAGTTTGGAGAAATATTTTGGAGAAGTGTTCGTTTACCATCATGGCCGTTGTGGAAAATTAGTATAGCACTATAACCCATTGACGTAAATGTTTCCTAAATTTTAAACAGTGTAACGTGGTCAGAACGCCTGACCAGTTGTCCCGGTCATACGTTTTTTCCATGTCGAGCAGAAGAATTGCAAATTTTTTTGGTCCTCTTGTATCAGCTCCATGACCTCTATTGTTGTAGTGATGCTGTCCAAGACGAAGGGTCCTCTAACAAAGGTTGTCTGGTCTTGCATGATCTTCCTTCGTTTTTTTTTTTTTTTTTTTAACGAATCGTTATTGAATGTGGAAGTTAAAAATATTCTGATGGTTTGTAACTCCATAAATATTATATATATATATATATATATATATATATATATATATATATATTACCGGGCAGTTCTATTTGACGATATATATATATATATATACAAGATAAATCGTGTTAAAAATGTAAAAGAAAGATAGAAACAAAAAAATACGGGAGGATGAAATGATTGTTGTCAATTCGCTTGAGTTTTTGCTACGCTCAATTGAGATTGATTAATCAATCAATCATTTAAACAATCAATTAATATACTTATAATTAATCAATCGAGCGATTGATCAATTCATCAATTAATCGATCAATCGATTGATAAAAAAAATCAATCAATAAATCAAATCATCAAATGATCAATCGATCAAACAATCAAGCGATCAATTAATCAACCAACCAAACGATTGATTAAAACAGTCCATAAATCAATCAATGGATCGACCAATCAACAAATTGGTCGATCAATTAATCAATCA